GGGCCAGGAGCAGGAGGCAGAGCTGAAGGCCAAGGTTGAGGAGCTTTCACCCAGCCCCTAGAGCCTGGCAGTTTGAACTCACACACTTAAAGCCTCCAAACTGTAAGAGAATAAACTATTTGTTAAACCCATCCCATTTGTGGCATATTCCTGTTAGGGCAGCACTAAGTAATTAGAACAGTGTGCATCAGGGTTTTATCCTTTCACCCTATTTATTCAATGTGTATGCTGTGGAAATAATCTGAGAAGCTGGACTATACGAAGAAGAACATGGCATCAGGTTTGAAGGAAGACTCATGAACAACCTGTGATATGCACAGGACACACCCTGCTTGCTGAAAGTGAAGAGAACTTGAAGCGTAACCTGTCAAGTGCAGTTCTTAGCTACTTGCCACTACAACAGCCAATTACTTGACAACAGGACAAGGTGAAAAGCAAGAGCATTTTACTGAGTACCGATAACCAAGGAGACAGAGGGGCCATGTCCGCGAAGACTGTCACCTTGAACTGTGAAAAGGTTAGAGTTTTCAAAGGGAATTGGGCTATGGGGTAGGGAGTTTGAGGAATGCTGATGATGCCTTTTTTTTTTGTTACTGGGATATGTCTTCTTTGCCTTGTGAACTTTCTGCTATTCTTCTGGTCAGTGATGTAAAACCAGCATTGGTCAGAAGAAATTGTTTTACAAGCCCCTTACACTGGCTCAGAAATACCAACTTTATAAGGAGGGGAGAATGTGGGAGTACATACACTTAGGTCTATAAGGAAAGGTAAGGGAGGATTGTGGAGTGAGTGCCTGAAGGCCTGTAAGGCAGGAAAGAGAAAGAGTATTAAAGCTTGGTCAAGATGGCTATTCCTTTAGGTTATTTTACCCTCTGGGGGCTACAACAGAAGCACGTATTGATGAAGAGCAAAGACTACAGCCTTCACTATAGATTACATTTCAACATAAAGAAAACAAAAATCCTCACAACTGGACAAATAAGCCACATCATGGTAAATGGAGAAAAGGTTGAAGTTGTCAGGGATTTCATTTTACTTGGATCTATAATCAACACCCATGGAAGCAGTAGTCAAGAAATCATATGACATATTGCACTGGACAAATCTGCTGCAAAAGACTTCTTTAAAGTGTTAAGAAGCAAAGATGCCACTTTGAAGGCTAAGGTGCACCTAACCCAGGCCATGGTGTTTTCAACAGTCTCATGTGTATGTGAGAGCTGGACAATGAACAAGGAAGACCGAAGAAGAGTTGATGCCTTTGAATTGTGGTGTTGGCAAAAAAATACTGAAAATACCATGGACTACCAGAAGAATGAACAAATGTGTCCTGGAAGTAGTGTAGGTGGAGCACTCCTTGGAAGCGAGAATGGCCAGACGTCGTCTCACCTACTTTGGTCCTGTTATTAGAAAGGACCATTCTCTAGAGGATATTATGCTTGGTAAAGTGGAGGGCCAGAGAAAAAGGGGAAGACCCTCAATGAGATGGACTGACACAGTGGCTGCAAGGATGGGTTCAAGCAAAGCAAGGACTGTGAGGATGATGCTGGACAAGGTGGTGTGTTTTGTTCTGTTGTACATATACAGTTGCTATGAGTCAGAGCTGACTTGAGAGCACCTAACAGTAACAACAACAACAATTTGTTTCCTCTTTTTTTTTTTTTTGCCCTATTTTTTGGCTAATGTTCTTCATTATGAATAGAAATTAGTACATTTCAGTGATTCTTGTGCCCAAAACAAAATTCTAGCAAATAAGAATATAAGAATTGGGATTTTGGTAATTCTTCTAAGACTTTTTTGCATGTGTAAGCAAACCCCAAAACTTACATTCTTGGCATGACTAAAATGGCTGCCCTAGGTCTAAATTAAACTCTATTTTGAATCAAACTGTAGCTTGGCCTAAAATACCTGCTTCTGCTGCTCTGAAGAGACAATTAAGCTTCCTATAAAAATTTAACTGCTTATAAGTGGAAAGGAGCAAGGCTCAAATTTTCAGCTTATGCAAGGAATTGTTTGTTAAAAGATGTCTGTCAAGAGTGTTTGTGATGCTTGATGCAAGAAGAATGCCTTGCTCAACATGTCCCAGGATGTTAGGAAATAGAAATGAAAATGTTAAGGACAGTAGTTTAACAATCCCCTTGGAACTTCTTGTCACTCACCCACTTCACACCTGTGAGCATGTAGTCCTTTGCTTACTCCACCCAATAAAAATCCTTCTTTCTTCTTGCAATTTGGACCACCACAGTACCTGCCTGGGTGGGAGTGTGTCTCCTATGCCATGAATCTCTCTGTCTTCCCATAGAACTCTTAGCATTCACTGCTAATAGGATGGAAGACTGGTGCTTTGCTCTGAGAGGCACAACGTAGGTTACAATTTACTACCTGATAATTACTATTTTATTGATGATTGCATTTTTACAAGTGCTTTACTATGATGAAAAAAGTGCTTATGATGGAAGTGATTTATTCTTCAATTTGGAGAGAAAAATACTCACGGTTGAGCCCCGATTTCTCGTAGATGATAAAAGAGTTGGGGAAGGTATGTTTGAAGAAGAGTTTCAAACAGCAAACACAGTGACACGATACCCTGGACACAGTAATGAATCATAAGAGAAATACTCATTTTAATATTTAAAAAATAACTGTGTTAATAATTTTTCAAATGCCAAATGAGAAAAAATATTGTTTAAGAGTCTAAACCAAGAAATATATGAATGGATCCCTAACGCTGTACTTGAAGGAGCTCTGATGGAGTGGTGGGTAAAGCATTGGCTGCTAACCAGTAGGTAGGTAGTTCAAACCCACCAGTTGCCATGGGAGAAAGATGAGGCAATCTATTTCCATAAAGATTTATAGCCTTGGAAACCCAATGGGGGTCGTTATGAGTTGGAATCAACTGGATGGTAATGGGTGGGTGTAACATTGTACTTAAAGATAAGTCTTATCCCTCTGTGAATTCCTTTACTGTTGTAGATATGCTAAAGGACTGTTTTTTTTTTTTTTTTTTTAAACACAATAGGCTCCCCATTCAACCGGATATGTAGCATTCAGAGTTCAAGGAAAACATGTTACAGAAAGCCTGTTCCTTTACAAACCACGCATTATCACTTACGCCATAGCAAAATTAAGTTTTCTCTGGATGACTTCCAGTCTCCAGGTATTTCCCTGTGGTAACCCCACACCCTTTACTCTCTCCTTCCATAATGTCCCTTCCTCTCCAGCTGCCTCACCCACCAAGAAAAATATTTCCTGCTTTTCTAAATCCACTCCCAGGGAAAGACAGACTGCTTGAAATTTGCATTAGGACATTATCCACCAAGAATGCCAGATTACTCAGCAAAAGCAAATTTTTTTTGAGCTGAAATCTTTTTTTTTTTTTTTTTAAGGGCATTATTTGTAGAATATAAAAAATAACCGATTTAAACAGATGGTTGTTCATGTGCATTCATTACTTGACAACTCTGAGTAAAGTCTTTCTCGGGCAGCCCAGCATTCCTCAGGGTTGATCTTTGTAAGGAAGTTTTAATCCTCTTTGAATTTCTAAAGAAAAAAGGCTGTCAGGGTTCCAAATATTTTAGTCTGGCTGCCATCCAGGAAAGACATGACCACCAGAAAGTCTTTATTCCACTGAATAATGAAGGGGCAGAGGCCAGACTGGACCACTCAATAAGCTGAAAGGGGACACCTCAGGGTCAGCATGGAGATAAAGAAGGACGATGCAGAGGAGGCCGCCATCAGGCTACGTGCTCTGCACAAGGAGAACACCAAGCGTGGGCCCTGCGCAGTAGCTTTTTACTTTCATTTTTTTAAAAAACTCTGAAGCATAAAATGCTAAGAATGAGATATTAGAAAAGAGGAGAATTAGTCATCAGTTCTGATTATTTTGATAAAATGTCAATGGAAGATAAGAAGAAAATCAAGTTGTCTAAGACAATTGGTAGTGCTTTATTTGTGTGTTGTATGTGACATCCTGGAATTCTGTTATTTGGCAACTTTTGACAGCAATTCATAAAAGCAAGATTGGGGCTGGAGGGAAGTGGGATAGGAACACATAGGATTAACTGGGGGGATAAAGAAAGATATTTAATTTAGTGTCGGTAACACATTCTCCTCTTTGGGGAAATTTGGTAACAGATACATTCCAATTGAATGTGTCTTCTGGAGAGTTAGTCAAAATTACCCTCAAGTGCACTAAAGAAGGCCCAAAGTGGGAAACCGTAAAACTGAATTTAAATATTCAGGCTCATGGGAAAACCAGATGAAGATATGATAATTGAGCAGTCAGAATAAAACAGACAAAAATACTCTACTCCCAGTGTACTTTTCCTTGACTCTCATAGTGAGGCCAGAGACGCCTTCTATTGGATAAGCAACAAAGAAAATATGTAGTATGATAATTAGCCAAATCTGATATTGGAAAACAAGTAACCAATAAATGTTTGATTTTCATTAACAAAGAGGAGATGATGATGATAATCATAACAAAAACAACCATTTATTTATTGAACACCTGCTAGGAGCCAACTAGGACCCTGGGTGCTTTGCAGACTTTCTACAGCACTACAGATAAATACATCAACCCCACCTCATAGGGAAGAAATCAGGGTTAACAGAAGGTAGGCATTTTTGTCAAGGAAAATAATACAGATATTTCTGATGTTTTAACAATTTAAAATTGTTATATTTAATATAATTGTTAAGGGACTTTATCCTCTCCAATTATTACCAAAATTATGTGAATATTAATTTATTCTTCTCTTTCATTTATTCTGCAGAAATGTGTTGGTTGACATCATAAATTAAAAATTTTTTGCTTTCTATTTTGAGGAGGAGATATTTTTCTTATACGGAAAATTCTCACTTGAGTGCAATTAAAGAAAATCTGCTGCTGCTATAAATTTTTCCCAGGAAAGAAAGAACAGATTAGAGTCTGAGGTGATTCAGTTTTTTTTTATGAACTTACAGAAGGATGTGAAGAGATGGAATGGAGTCTGAAGAAGAAACGCACGTACATCTCACGGAATATCCGATACAATTTGGAAGGTTCATGGTATAGAAAACACAGTGGTGCAACTGAAAGGATAAAAATATTAATTGGTATTACTGTAGAAGTACTAAACATTTTTTTTTTTTTTTAAATTGTGATTTGGGTGAAAGTTTACAGAGCAAATTCACTTTCCATACAGCAGTTCATGTATACTTTGTCTCATGACATTGACTGCAATTTACCACAATGCAACAGCTCCCTTCTCATGAAGTATTAAATGTTCTTTTTTAAAGGAATAAGTTACTCAAACAGGAAAGAATAAGTCAATAGTTTATAGTAATCATATTCATTCACAGACAACTTTGAAGTAATACATATTGTTTTTACATGCACATGTAAAAAGTTCAAACTGTAAGATAGATACACAGTGAAAAGCAAACTTGTCTAAACCTTTATCCCAGACTTTCAGTTTCCTTTTCTAAATGCAACCTTTTTAATGATATCTTGTATAACTTCTAGAACTTTTCCATGCAAATAGAAGATATAAAAATATACACACCTTTAACACATTCATACATAGTGCACAGCACATGCACTATTCTATACCTTGCACTTCTCACTTAACGGATATTGAGAACGTTGTTCCCTATCACCTAACACAGATCTACCTACATTATTTTAATATTGAATAGCATTTTTTCTGCATGGGCTATAATTGGTTCAACCAGTCCCACACTGATGAGTATTTAAGCTGTTTCGAATACATTGCTAGTACCGGCCCCCCAACCCCCCAAAAGAGTTGTAATTAACATTCTTAAACATATGTCTTTGTGCAGATAAATTCCTTAAAGTAAAATTGCTGAGTCAGAGTGTGCATACGTAAAATTTTGTTTCATATTGTCCAATTATTCTCAAAAGCTAACATAATTTATATAGTTATTAGAACTGTCTACAGAGTTCCCATTTCCTCATACTGTGACCAGTCCTGTAAACTAGCAAACTCTATCTTTGCCTATCTGGTAGATGAAAACAGTGTCTTTGTATCATATTAATTTGCATTTCTTTACTTATGCGTGAGGTTTAGTATATTTTTAGGTATTTATAACCAAAAACCAAAGGCACTGCCATTGAGTCTATTCTGACTCACAGTGGTCCTTTTAGGATAGAGAAGAACTGCCCCAGAGGGTTTAAATCTTTACAAAAGCAGACAGCCTCGTTTCTCCCACAGACCAGCTGGTGAGTTCAAACCACCGACCTTTTGGTTAACAGACCTTTTGGGTAGCTTTAACTACTGCGCCACCAAAACTCCTTCTTATCTATTTATAAGTCACCTGTATTTCTTTTTTCATCTGTGTTCTTTTTTTAAAAAAACTGGATTGCTTAGATTTCATTTATGTGTTGAGATATTTTGCCCTTCATTGTATGCAATGCAAATATTTTTCCTGGTTTGTTGTTGTTGGTTTGACTTTATTAATTTTCCTCCTCATGCAGAACTTTAATTTTTTATAGTTAACTTATCAATCTTTTATAGATTCTCAGTTTTGTCTTGTTCAGAAAAGATCTTATATTTCTCCTATACTTAGTATCTTAAATTAAGATATTCCATACATTTAAAAAGAAGAACTCATGTTCTAATTGCAATCACAACCTAAGAAAAACAAATGCAGATGTGGTAGAAATATGAATCTAAAAGTGAAGGCTTGGGATGCATACACTTTTTTATGGTGCATGCTTTTTCTTCTAAGTTTTAAGTTATTGAAATATAAAACTCTGTAATCTGAATCTGAAGGTTTTATGGTTTTAATTATCATTAACGATCATTTCTAGCGAAGGAATGAAGAAAAGAATTTTAAGATAAGCATTTTTCTCCAAATATACCTAATACAAAAAAAAAGATAATCTGTCATTATTCAAGATATCACAATTGTTTTTGCTGAATTCTCTTAGTTACAGAATTGAAAGGTTTTAGTCCATTACATACAATAGGCAAAAAACTTCTACATGAATTAATTTTCTATTTTAAGCATCTTTCTCTATTTGGTTCTTTCATAAAAAGAAATTTAACTTTTTTTTTAACCAATTAAGTATGATTTAATTCAAAAATTACTTACAAAATCATAGTATTCTACCCTGCATAAATGTGAAAGGGGAAGGCCAGTTTAAATTAGAGAAAAGTTCTGAATCCATTTTTAAAGGAGGCATACTATTGCTATTTAAAGAAATAGAGTGATTAAATTTGAAGTGGTAAAGTGCTAACTAGAGTTCCTTAGGTATGACATGTATATTTTGGTATATTGATTATAAATAAGCAGTTGCTGCTAAAGCATTTGTGGATCCTTATTTTTCTGAAACAGTATAAATTGTATCAAATATTTTAAATTACTTATTTCCTTAGGAAATATTTAACTCTTGGCCATATAAACCTTAGCCTATTTAGTGACCATACATGTGAATAGGCAGAAGCTAATACTTTGTACACTGAAAATTGCTAGAAGAATTAAGCTTTCATGATGTCATTAAGTGTCCTCTAAATTAGCTAAGTACACATTTTAAAAACTATTGATCAGTTTTTGTGGTTGTAATTCTTGAAATAGAGGAAGAATAAAATGGCTAACAGTTTTACCATTAGGGGTGGAAATTTATTATTTTTAATCTTTTTAGTTTTATCTTTAAATCACTGACATATTTATAAAAGAGAAATATGTAAGAATTTCACAATATCCATATGCATAATGTTATGAAATTGTGGTTACTTAAGATAATAAGGGAGCTCTGGTGGCGTAGTGCCTAAGGCACTTGACTGCTAACCAGAAGGCTGTCAGTTCAAACCCACCAGCCACTCCTCGGAAGGAAG